TCGTCTATATTCCTAACTTTTCATGCTTTATCTTTTTTCTATTGACTTCAAAATAGGTTTTTTTGAAAGAAAGTACGCCCTCGCCCCTCATTCTTCCTTCCTTTTTATATTGTTCTGCTCATGTTTCTTGTTTAAATTTCTAAAATGGCTTTTTTCGTTTCTCTCGGCTCGCTTCTACTCCATTGCCTTCGAATCTTTTTGTACTTGCCTTATAAACTTAGCTTAACCAATTCTCTTTCAACTAAAATGCATAAAATCTACCAAATCAACTCGGCGCGATCTTCTTGAGGTTCTTCTTCATGGGTTTTGTCTTTAATTATTTTAGAAAAAGGATTGATGAGTAAAAAGGTATTGGGTAAGGTTAAATAGTTACTAACTGGGGGCTAGTCCGGGGATCAAACCCGGGACCTCTTGCAACTCTAAATTCCTTATCCAAAATTCATTGCCAAATTGTAGAAACGATCGGGAAAAGCGAGATTTTGTTTCTGCGGGAGCGGCGGCTGGAGTCTCGGCCGCTTTCGGTGCTCCAATTGGCGGTGTTCTCTTTTCATTGGAAGAAGGAGCAAGTTTCTGGAATCAAAGCTTGACATGGAGAATGGTTTGTAATTGATAGCAAATCTGATAGATCTTTAATATAAAGCACAAAATATATTTAGTTCTTTACTTCGATGTTCTCTTCTTTCACTGTGAGTGCAATCCTGGCCTGGTATCACGGCGCTGGAGCTTGGCTTTCTTGGAACGGACTGGCTAATTTTGGCGTTTTTGAGGTAAAAGATAAAAGTTGATCTTCTATTTTTTTTCTATTTGTTTATAGGTTATTTATAGGCTATTTATAAGTTTAGGACAAAGACTACAACCTCTTCGAGATCCCATTCTTTTTGGCGATTGGTGTAATTGGTGGAGTGAGTGGAGCCTTCTTCAACTATCTTAACATCAATTTGGCCAAATTCAGGAAAAAGTGAGCTTAAAATTTGACTTAGGCATAGGCATAATAATATTTTTGGTTTAAAAACAAATTTCAGGTACATTTTGACGAAAAAGCAGCGCTTACTCGAGGCGATCATCATTGCTGCGACGTCAGGGTTTTTCGGATTCTTGACACTGTTTCTTGTTGATGATTGTCAACCGATTGGAATCAATCCCGAAACAACAGCAGTAAATCAGGTATGTGCTTAAGATTATTTAGCTATAGTAATCCTGGGTAAACTTTTAAGTTACACTTTTCAGCTCTGGTGCCCGAAAGGTGAGTACTCGGCTGTGGCGAATCTCTTCTTCGATGGATCAGAAGGAGGAATAAAGAGTCTATTCCATTCTCCAATCAGTTAGTTTTATTTAAATTCTGAAAAATAAAGGTTTGTTTATAAAATTTAAGCATTCAGACTCTTTTCGTCCGTACACTCTTTTGATCTTCGCCGTCGAATACTTCTTCCTCACCGCTTGGACTTTTGGAGTATCGGTAAGGGCTTCTACCAACTAAAATCAGGATTAGAATTAAAGTAGTATAGAAAGTGGGGTTTATGATCTAAACTAGAAGCTGCTTTAGGTTCCAGCCGGCATTTTCATTCCCCTCTTATTGACTGGTGCTGCATGGGGGCGATATATTGGTGTCGGCTTGGCGCATCTCATCCCATCTGTCGTTAGTCTTTCACATTTCAGTTATTTCAAGAATAAAATACTCTTTACACTCGAAGAAAGAGCAAATTACAGGTTGGAACTCACCCAGGCAAATATGCTCTAGCTGGCGCGGCTGCTCAATTGGGCGGATCAGTTCGGATGACGATCTCATTGACGGCCATTTTGATGGAGGCCACAAAAGATATCTCGTTTGGTCTTCCAATCATGTTGGTGCTAATGACGGCGAAACTTGTTGGCGATATATTCAATGAGGTTTGTTGATGACAGAATCAATTATTTGAACAAATTTTAGGGTATCTATGACTCATTGATCGATCTACAAGGAATTCCTGTACTTGGTTGGCATCCACCCAAAATGAGTCGAAATATCAACGCAAAGTGAGTATTGCTTTTTAAAATGATTTCAATCAGTGAAATTGATTTGATTTTAAAATTCCAGACAGATCATGCGAAAAGATGTGGTGGCTTTGGAGAGGAGAGAACGTGTGGGGAGACTGAAGGAGATTCTAGAAACAACTTCACATCATGGATTTCCGGTAAGAAATTTGATTTGGAAAAGAAAAGATTATCAGATAAAATAAGCAAAACGTACATGAGAATCCAAGGACTATTTTAGGTCGTCGATCGCATTGAAGAGAGCATGACCGGGAACTTGCCAGACTATGGCCAGATTCAAGGGATTATTTTGCGATCACAATTAGTTCGGATCCTGGAGCGAAGGGTAAATACTTCTATGGACTTGTTTTTCAACAGGGGTTGAGAATTTATGTATTGAAAAGACTCCACATAAAATTTTTGGGCTCTTTCTTATTACTGCCTTAAAAATCGGGTAATTTAATTATGAACGAGTACCCTAAGAAAACCTTAAGGAAGTAGTGATGCCCGACAATGAGTCTTCGACAACTTACTTTCCCGCAACAATTCTCCCAACAACAACATTATTCTAATGCCCAAACAAAGGCATTTTTGCTTCGAACTTCGAACATTTTTGTTGCATTGTTCCCAAAAAGCACTTGTTCAATTAAAAGTTGGTTGGTGAATCGCTGCATAGGCTACCCGATACCCGTTTTTCTTAAGGTTCCCGTTACACGGTTAAAGTACCCGATTTTTTAAGGTACCTAGTAATAGGAAAGAGTCAACTTTGGTACACAGCTGAACTATTCGTTATGTTACGTGAAATATACACCTGTTTTTTTGTCACAAACCCGAAAGCTAAATGGGACCATTACTTTTAAGCGGTACTACACCTCAATCGTTAGTATGAATTTTCCAGGCGTTCACAATTCATCCTGATGGCCGAACCGGTTGCCAATGGGTTTTGTCTCATGAGGATTTCCTCGATGAAACAGACTGGTATGTATATCAAATAAAAATAAACAACGCATGACAAATTTTAGCAAAGAGAAGACAGTGGCCGAGCTCGGGCTGAGGAACGAAGATTTTGGTTGTTGGGTTGATCTCTCTCCGGTTCTCCATTCACATCCACATCGAGTTCCGCTAAACGCTTCACTTCCCTTCGTCTACCAAATATTTAGAGGCTTGGGATTACGGTATTTGATGGTGGTCAACGAGGAGAATCGGGTAAGTGAAGAAAACAAAAAAAAAAGAAATGGTTAGAAAAGAAATAGAAAAGGAGAATTAACAACTCGTTTCGAAGCAGACTTGACATATTTTACAGACTAATCAATTATTTCTTTCCAGTTACGAGGTGTGATCACTCGAAAAGATGTGGCTCGATTCAAAGAGACGAGAAAGAGAAGAAGATATCGAGTGAGAGAGCTTTTCATATCCGAAGATGGTGGACCAAATTGATTTCGCCATTCATTTTTCACATTCTGTCATTACGGTTACCTATAGTAAGCTGGTATTACGGTAAATCATGATGTTTTTATGATTACTTCTGTTCTAGTTATTCTAAAAGGTGCTCTTAGCAACTCTTGTGTGAAATTGTGATGAAACGAGTTCCAAAGCTTATTTATTTATGTATTTCGTTAGCTCAATCAATTACCGGAAACAAAACTATTTAAGGTGTTTATCGCCAACATTTGATGTTCTATTGAAGATTCAGATCCTTTTCATGTCAACTGGTCATTTGCTGTTTATCACCACATTTTAAACGCAAATAAACTTGGCTAAAACACTTGTTTTGTGAAAAAGGTTAAAAACCTAAAAATATTCCTGAGAACATTTTGTGAAGCTCTCGATGATTATAAGCTTTCTTGCAATGTGTTTTTTTTCAATTCACTTACTATACACATGTTTTAGATGATCATTTCTTCATTGTTGCTGACTGTGGTCTCCCTTCTCTCGCCGATTTTCGCCGATGTACTTTCGTTGCCAATTGAATACTCTCTCAATGGTTTGTTTTAAATTTAAGGTATATTTAAAGCTCTGGGAAGTTTATTCTATGCTTTAGTTCAGAGTTGCTGTGTCATTAATTGAATTTATTATTTACCAAAGGAGGATTTAAAGATAAGATGCATAGAAGAGATGTTTCTTACCTTGGTTGATAATAGATGCCATTTAAAGCTTCCAGAACTTTAATAATTAACTTTTAGAACTAAAAACAACGATAACTTTAGAAACAACGATGTGTTCCTAAAGTTGTTTCTAATTTGCTAGTTTTAGATTGGAAAACCGTCGGCAAATTGGGAGTGATCGAAGTGAAAGAGGACTTCAGCGGGAATTATTCGGGCGTTTTTCGAACTACTGCCGGTTTGTTTATCATTTTGTAATTTGTTTGGCAACTTTACAATAGACGTTTATAATTTTTATCTTTAGATGCTCTGCAATTGGGAAATGCCCTTCAATCTGCTTCTTCGTCTGCTTTGTATCGAGTGAGAACACCCTACGGAAAAGGAGGCGATTATGTATCGAGCTCTACGGAACCGGTGAGCTTTTACTTTTCATTGAACACTTGTAAAAATTTTGATAGCCCGTAAATATAAAAATTGATCAAGCTCAATAAGTCAGATGCGATTGTTATTAAAATTGACAATGAAAAACGCTTTTAAATGGCATGTGGAGTACTGGAAGTTCCGCTCTCAAATTCTTACTAGAACCACCACTGGAGAATACGAAAGTTTTATTTTTAAATCACTTTAGTGTCGAATTTTGCAAACGAAGCTTGTGCACAACTTCTGGGTGTCGCTCGATACAACAGGAAAAGCTGTTCAATCGGTGAGAATTTTTGTTTTTAACTTGAAAGCATTTTAGAAATAAGACAGTTAATAAAGATTCATTTTAGCTTTATGCAAGGGATTCCTTTTAGCGCAAATAATTAACTTGTTGATAGTTTGTAGATTAGTACGTTTACCAGCTACCTAATTAATGACGAATTTAAAATACATCAAGACAAATCACTGACTTTACTCTTCTTTTAGTTGACTGTGTTTGCTGACCCGGCGTTCAAATCATCGGACGATGGTTGTCAACTATTGCCACAAAGCAATTTGGTCGGAATCGTGCAAGTCACCTCTGTTCAACAACTCAAAAGGTTTCTTATTTTATTATTTAAAATTTATTAACCGTGTTCAAATTATTTATTAAACTGAATTTAACAAAGTCTTGTTTTTCGAAAGTTTTTTTTAAAGATGAGTTAAAATAGGAGGGTGTTTTTGAAGTATAATAGATTTTTATAGGATCGTGAAGCACATCTATCACGAACACTAGCATTCTACAATGATACATTTTTTCTTTTCAGCCCAGACACCCAATCGTTCCTTGACAAGATGGATAAAGAAAGACGAGCAAGACAACATGGCGCTGAACAGGATAATCGATCGTTTTTGGCTAAATATGTTGGTTTTTTTATGCTTTAAAGATGATGTAAGATTCTTAGACAATGTTTCCCAAAAGACAAAATTTATGCTAACTTGTGCTTTTAGTGGATGTACATTGTTCCCGTGGTAATCTTCATGCTTATCTCGTCGGCCAGTCAACAACAAGAGGGTGGACAAGGCGGATAAAATAAGAATTGAATGAGTGAATCGATTGTGAATCTTATAAACAATATCATCATCATGAGATGATGATTTTCTTTTTAATTAATCATAAGTTCCTTTTGTTACGGGTTTGCTTGATGTTTTTTTTTCCTTTTAAGGTTATTTAATGTTTTGTGATTTCTTTTAGAATAATAAAATCGCTATAAAACTTTATTAAAGTCAGATAGCCTCACGAGAATTTAGCAGAAATTTAAAGGTTTCTTGAGTTTTTAATTGAATAGAGGCAATCCGACGGGCGAATTTCATAACAACGATGACGTGATCAGCCAGAACTGAAAGAAGACAATTTTGGTAGCATAAATTTAAAGATTTCTTGGTTTTTTACTTTACTTTTACTAAACTTTACTGAGTAAAAATTCCCAAAAAATCTCCAAAGCCTGCAACGAGATGGCGATCAACACCATGAACAACATCATGCTCATGAACGTCTGATTAGATGAGGAAGAGATGAGATACGATTCCTGCAATTCGGGAATGTTATGTTAATAAAAGTATGTTAATATGTATGTTAATAAAAGAATCAAGTATAAAATCTACACCTAACACAAGAGTTTAACAGAAAAACCTCGCTGCAAAAGACAAACTTTTCATACCTCGATCGATTGAGCTTGCCAAGCTCGGGGCATTCTTCGATGATTCGAATCGGTGAAATGAATATATTAGGTAATTTTTCCTCAATTTCGTAGCATAAATTCAAATTGCTAACGTGTGCTGATTAGTTGGGATTTCTGTTTTGTGCGATTCAAAAATTGCTTTGAATTAGGTTTGACTGTATTTTCTTCAAAAAAACAATACGATGAAAGCTTTTATTAAATTTTATCGTATTGTAAAAGCAAGGAAAGCTTTTATTTACAAAATGTACACGTATTGCTGGTAAAACGGGAATGTAAAACTCAATGGTTTCTGGAAAGCGATGGTGCAAAAAATTGAATGAAGCATAAATGAAAACTAATCAGAAATGCCTATAATTTGTGGATTTGTAATTATCTTTTTCTTTCATCCAACAAAACGCCGGCATCGATGAGAATTTTCTTGAATTGACCCTTTCGATCCATCTCTCGAGTGTCATCGGAACCTAAATGTGAAAGTTTTTCAAGTCATTCAGCTATTTTCTAGCTAGTAGCTATTTTAGGCCTAAACTCTACAATATCCACCTCCGACAAAGATTCCGTTGATGAACAATTGGGGGACCGTTCGTCTGCCGGAGAGAGTCTTCAGATAATCCTAAAGAGAAATTCTAAAATGATCTTTTAAATGTTTCATGCATGCTCAACAACAATCCATTCTCTTAATTAGCTCACCAATGCAATCTTCTCATATTCTTTTAGCTAAATTTCTCATTTTCATCTTTTTTCTGAACTCACTTGAATAACTGATCGATACTCTTCCCTTTGCAAGTCCAATTCAAGAATTTTCATGTCATCAATTTGATACTTGCTCAACATTTCTTTCAATCGGCGACTGTATGGACAATAGGTTTTCGAGAAGAGCATAACCTGGAAATGGGGTTTTAAAAACTTACATGTCATTTATCATAATGAATGATTTCGATATCTTTAAACTTGCCTTATGCTGTCTTATCGTTTTCGACACTTTATTCTCAATAGCCCTTCGGGAAACACATTCAATCTGAAAGCTTTTTTTAGAAATAACGTGCCTTTCCACAACTTACAGTAGCAAATAAGGCGACAAAGAGCACGATTAGCCTCAACTCCATTTCAATTGTTTTTGATCTAAACTGATTGATCTTTTAGTTGGAAGTATAATGAAGGAAAAAGAAC